TTCAAAAAAATAAAAAATAAAATATCATACATTTACGAATGAATGTTGTTTCATAGCTTTCTCGCGTCACACCTTCACATATTTAACTGTCCCGTCCAGTTTGACGTGCCGGCGGTCCAAGTGCTGGTGCAACGCATCAACGGCCTCGGTCGAGGCCTCGGCGCACAGCGAGCAGCCCTCCGTCTCGGACACGGGGTGCCTGGAGAACATCTTGTCGTGCCCGTATGTCGCGTGCATTTTTGGCACGGGGGCACGGTTCACCAGGCTCTGAAGCTCCGAGACCAGCAAAGATTCTTCGTACCAGAATTCGTCGCCCAGGACGACGACCACCTCGAGGGCGGGTATGACGGCCGGCGTGACCTCCTGGAGCACCCTGGGCGACGCCTGACACAGGATGAGCGAGCGTAGGCCGGGCAGGCCAGCTAGAGCCGCCGGCAGCTCTCTCAGCGTTCCAACATACGAGAGAAACGAGGGGTACGTGGCGTCGTAGGACTCGCCCAGCACGAGACACCGTAGGCTTGGCAGTCCGCCCGCCCCCAGGACGTGCAGCGGTAGAGGGGGAAAGCCGTGTAGCTCGAGGCGTTCCAGGGGGCACGGAGACCGAAAGAAGTTCTCCAGCTGGGAACATTACGGCGGTCAGTACAGGCTGCTGGGTTAACTCATTGTTTCCCTCCCTATCTCATGTACTCTGACCCTAAGCGAACTTTGTTTACCTTATTACAGACTTGTTGAAAAAGTATAAATTCATTGTTCAAGTTGATTTTTAACTCCTTCAGCCCGTGGGTTCGTCCAAGAGCGGCAGCGTCGCTTGCGTTCAAATCTTTGATCTCCAGCCTGCGCAGGTCACTGGGTAGTCCGTCATCCACGAGATGTACGAGCAGTTCTCGTCCCTTGTTCGAATACATCTTCACGCAGTCCAGCTGTTTGCTGCAAAAAAAGGCCAGGAACTAAATATACCTGCTGGAGAAGGAGCTTAGCGCAATATAAAACACTATTTTGTAACGACATCGAAACGGTAGCGATAAGTTGTTTTCGTTTCGCATGCGTCGGTTTTCCTCGCTGGGAGTCAGGGTAAGGGCGATACCTGTGTGCTCGCAGCAGTGAGAGGAGTCCCTTGAGACTTCCCTCGGAGTAGGCTGAGACGATGGAGTCTGGATCCACAAACACTGAGCGCAGCTTCGGCAGCACCAACTCCTGGGGGTAGGGACGTGGTTAGAAACACCTTGCAGACACGGTGCAGTAACCGCTCGGCCGGCTCAGCAGCGAGCGTCCTTACCTGTGGCCACATCGGGATCCGCTTCTTGTCAAGATGGACCGACAGCACCGCAAGATGCCTGAGCTCCAGCCAGATGGCGTTTTTCAATACGGCGAAAATAACGCCCAGACCGTCCACGATCACCTCCAGACACTTCGCCGTCTTGGCGACCTCCCGGATGAGGGTCGAGGTGTCCTCAGACGAGAAGGTCGGCATTTCCATGCTCAAAGTCCGCGGGGGACACGCGGTGTGGATGCGGCTGTCGCCTTCGAGACACCCTACGATTAAATCTTCAGAATCGGGACGCCCGCAGTACTCAAAGGCAGTTTTCTTCCTGGTCTTCCGGATGCACACCACCTCCGCAGGAGCGGCCACCCTCAACAGGTCCATCGCATCCGCGATACTCTTGAGCTTGATCTCACCCTGATCGCGCCACGGCAGCGTCCTGGCGAGCGCGGCCAAGCGCAGGCAGGTGCGACCGGCGGCGAACAGGTCCTTGGGGGCCAGCTGGGACAGCACCTGCAGCAGCGGCACGTCGGGCAGGTCGAGCAGCTGCAGCTGCGGGCAGAGCGGGGGCGGTCAACGGGGAGAAACAACTTACTCGGCC